TCTCTCCTCTGGTTAGTGTTCCATTTTCCACTTCCAGGCCACAAGGCTCAGCTAAATTAGAAACCATATTAAAAAAGACATCTGTGGTACACCTCAGGGGCATTCTAGTAGGATCTAAGCACTTCCTCATACAATAACAGTAATAACCTATTACTGATGAATTTAATGAAGTTGAGGGCCTCCAATTAAAGGTAAATCTGTCTTCACATATAGGCAAAGGGAGAGGGAGAAGCAGACTCCCTGATGAGCAGGGAGCCTAATGTGGAGCTTGATCCCAGGACCCCTAGATGGTGACCTGAGAGGAAAATAGATGCTTAACCGACTGAGCTACCCAGGTGCCCAAGCCAGTATTGGTCTGGCTTATATTTTTAAAGGAGCCCTCTAGTTGCCATGTTGAAGAGCTTTTTAAAGTAATTTAGGAAAAAGATGATAGCTCACCCAAGGTGGTGTCAGTGTATGAATGATAAGAAGTTGGACTGTGGGTATATTTGTAAGGTAGGGACTACAGAATACTTAATGGATTCAATGTGGGGTGTGAGAGAAATAGATAAGTCAAGAATAACTTGGGCAAAAAGGAGTTGCTACCCAGTGGGAAGATCTTGGGTTGACAAGCTTTTTCTGGGGAAGTCAGAAGTTTAGCTTGGAGGGGTGCCTAAGTGGCTCAGCCAGTTAAGTGTCTGCCTTCAGCTCAGGTCATGATCTCAGAGCCCTGGGATTGAGCTCTCTGTTTAGCAGGGAGTCTGGCTCTCCTTCTCCCTCTGTCTTCTCTCTCAAATAAATATATAAATCTTAAAAAATAAAAAGTTCAGCTTGGAACATGTTGAGTTTGAAATGTACTATTAGACGTCCAAGTGGAGATGTGGTAATAAGCAGCTGGATATATTAATTTGGAGTTCCACATGTAGCTCTGGGCTAGAGAGATAAATTTGGGAGTTTTTATGATACATTTGAGATTTAAAGTAATGAGACTGGATGAGATCACCATGAGAGTATAGATGGAGAAGAGGAACAAAGATCTAGCCCTGCAGTCCTTCAACATTAAGTGGTCAGGAAAATGAGGAAATGGTGAAAACTGAGAAAGAGCAGCTAGAGCAGCATGGAAACCAGGAGAACATGATGACCTAGAAGCCATGTGAAGACAGATATCCACAAGGAGTGACCAATTATACCATGCACTGCTGATGGGTTAAGAAAGACAAGGATAGAGAATTTACCACTGGATTTAGCAAAAAGGAGGTCATTGATCATAAGTATAAGAACAGGCTCTGTGGAGTTAGATGGATAAAAGTCTGACTGAAGTGTTTCATGGGTAAGGGAAGGAGGAGTTGAAGGCACCAAATAAAGAACTATTTTAAAGAGTTTTGCTGTTAAAGAGAGAAAAGAAATGTAGCACTAGCTGGTGAAGAAGTAGAGTTGAAAGACACTTCTTTTCTTTTAAATAGGAGAATAGCATGTTGGTATGCTAATGGAAATGATATAGTAGAGATCAACAAATGATTATATAGAAAAAGGGGGGAGAATAATTGGAGCAATGTCCTAGAGTTGAGAAGACATGGAATCTAGTGTGTAAGTGGAGAGACTGCTTTATATAAGAGTATAGATTATTCTTCTGTGATAATTATTCGCAAGAAAATTGATAAGTTATAGACAATGGTGGCGTGGGGGGGCGGTGAATGTGTTAGTGGAAATCTGTGGAAGGTCTGGAGGCATACAAGGAGAGAGAAAAAAAGAACACATAACAAAAAATCAGGAATCAGAATGGCTTTGAATTTCTCAGTGGCAACATTAAAATCTAGCAGAAAAGGGTCAAGGCCTTTAAAAACCTAACAGAAGATAATCTGCAACATAAGAATTTTATACCCAGCCAAACTATCACTAAGTGAGTACATACTAAATGCATTTTCAAACACATAAGGTCTGCTGCATATCTTCGTTTGCCCCTCCAGATCCACTTTCCACCCTTCTCCATCCTTCTTTGTGCTCTGGGAGGTAGATCTGCATGGACTTCCTTACTTGAATTCTCTTGTCCTCTAGGTTTGGCCAACATGAAATACTGACAAGATACTAGGGGGCAGAAAGAGAGACGTCAGTGCTGTATTTCTTTACTGAAGTCACAGACCTTATTGAGAAATTCTTTCCTATAACTGCAGTTCTCTCTGGGTTCTAATAAACACTCCTTCCTCTTTCACCTTTGGGCCTAAATCTTCCTGTTCTTGGTAGCCCTAGCTTAATACCATTCACATCTTTGTAAATAGTTCCTTTGTTAAGCTTTCGTCTAGCACTACCTTAAGAAAGCCACTTTTCCCTTGGCTAGACCCTGGCTGGATACCCAGGTCTCCAAAAACGTATCCATACACCTTTCCTCATAAAAACTATTCAAGGAAGTTTTCCACTAAAATAAGAGAAGGCACAGGAATGAGGCGAAGGAAATCCCCAGTACAATGGCGAGAGAAGTTCCCAAGATGACAGCTCTGAATTAGGCACACAGAACTAATCCAAGTTGAAGCAGGTTAGAAAGATGTCCAAAAGGTGACATCTTTAAAAAGATGTCTTTAAGATAAATTGCCTAAATACCTAATGAGAAGACAAGAATTTGAGACTGAATCAGAGGTAAGGGCATAGAAATCTAAACAAATGAAAAACCAAGACAATTGTTAATTTTGGATGTAACAAAAGCTGGGGAAGAAAAAAAAGTAATCATAATATAGGAAATAGCTCAATTGTAAAAAGCATTTTTATAACAAAAATTCCAAGGGACTACTGGATTCTTTTCTTTTATAGACTTTCTTATACAACAGAGGTTCCCTATTCTTGTTATGTAGAGATTTCTGTAGAAGATATTTATCATAATACATCTAAATTTGCCAGGACATTTATTCTAATGTAATTTGACCTGGGCCATTTGGTAGGTTGGAAAGCCAAAATCTCAGTTTATCTACCTTCATCCTGTGGGGTAAATTACTTAATTTCACCGATTCTTTAAAAAGTATGAGGATCGCACACCATAACATGTAGTGTGCCTGGCACATGATAGGCACTCATAAATGACCACTCTTGTCAGCCATCTTAATGGAACAATTCTGGATAGGGATATTATAAAACCACAAGGAATACAACTTTAACCTCAGAATAAGTGGGTAGTTGGGCATCTAGAAGTCATAGGGCATTAGAAGCCTGATGCCAAGTTAATACTTTCCAGCCTAAGGAAGTATAATATGAAACTGACAACTCTATATAAAAACAAAATTGAGGGCGGCCCGGGTGGCTCAGCGGTTTAGCGCCGCCTTCGGTCCAGATCGTGATCCTGGAGACCCGGGATCGAGTCCCGTGTCAGGCTCCCTGCATGGAGCCTGCTTCTCCCTCTGCCTGTGTCTCTGCCTCTCTCTCTGTGTGTCTCTCATGAATAAATAAATAAAATATTTAAAAAAAGAGAAACAAAATTGAGGAAAATAATGCTCTGACAAGAAAAGATGAGAGTAAAATACAGAGAGTAGATCAACTCTCAGAGGGGCCAAGTTGCAGTATACAGCTCTCCTTTACAGCAGTGATTCAAACACCCAGTTTCCCCCAGAAGTCCCCGTTCTGCTTGTCAGCATAGAAAGCGTGGGGTTCCAAGACTGAGTTCTGGTTCCTTTTCCAACCATATAAACAAACTAACAAAAAATGGAAGAGTTTTTGCTGCAGGGGTTCATTAGGCCTATCAATTTTAGGGGTTGGTCAGATAGGAATGGTTTGAACGGTAAAGGAAAACATTAGTCTTGAAAAATAAGCGTGTACCAAGCACTCAAGATTTGTCAGTCACTGTTCTAAGCTATTTTACATGAATCATCCCATTGAATCTCCATAAAAATTCTAGGTCCTTTTAACCTCATCTTACAAATAAGGTAGCTGAGACTTGGAGAGGTTAAGGAAATGAATGGCCTATGGTTACTGATAGAGCTTAATTTCAACTCAGATTTGACAGCCTCCAAAGCCTTCTAGGCTTCTAACTGCACTGTTAACGTAACAAATACAACCTTTAGCTGTGGATTTTCTCACCAGCCTAACAGCAATGATCAAATCACATATTAGCAAGTGATCTTTAAATATGACAGCAATAATATACAAAGGGCCACACTATTTTAAGAAAAAGCTCTGACAAGATGTACTAGGACAAGCCTTAAAACCATCAACTCTTTCTGGAGGTGGGGCTCAGACATTCAAATCAATTTAATCAGTAAAATCTTGATAGAAAATGAGTTATTTTAGGGCTACTTTAGGTTCTTTTCCCTCTGCGCCAGTGTGCGTAGTGCCAACTGTGCCTGCCATAGTAAGGGCTGAATAAACGTCTGTGGCCTGGGTGTATAGATAAGTCACCTACTGGGTCTTGTCAAATCTCACGCGGAGCATCTCCTACGAAAACATCGAGACTGTTACTAAAGCAAGCCCAGTCAGTACTTTCTCGGCCACCCAGCTACTTAGCGGCCGGTGGAACCTGCTTCACATGTGGGGCCAGAAAGCAAAGTAGAGAGCGCCGGAATCCAGGACCCCAGTCACACTCCGCACTCCGGCTGCACAAAGCCTCTTTTGCGGCGGGGTGGCCCATTCTCACCCCGGCGCGGGTGAAGCGCGGGTGTAGGCGGGTGACCGCCGCTCAGCTCCAATGGGGGCTGGAGGGGGGGTGGGGGACGGCAATGATAGTGCAGGAATTCCACGCCGGCTGCGGGGTTTGCAGACCCGACTTCAGAGTGGGAGGGAGCACTGTTCACCTGACACACCCCAAGCCGCTCTGCTGCAGCCCAGACCTGCGGGCCGGGCGGCAGGAGGCTCGTCTACGCGCCGACTCCTGCAGGAGCCGGGGGGCAGCGCAACTGCCCGCCGCGGGCCCGCGCACGCGCATTGCAGACGCGCGCCCGAGAGACTGCAGCGCACGCGCAGTGCGCCCTCCCCGGTTCCGGCAGTCCCTGCAGGGCCCGCGGCCCCGCCCCCGCAGACCCCGCCCCGCTCCCGTGTGCCGAATGCTCCATATCCGGGTTCCCGCCGCTGCCGCCGCCGCCGTGCAGCCGCCGCCGCCGCCGCCGAGCTCATTCAGCTTTGCCGGGAGTGGTGTGATTCCCGACCAAGATGGCGGCCGTGGGGCGAGTCGGCTCCTTCGGTTCCTCACCGCCGGGATTAGCCTCGACTTACGCGGGGGGCCCTTTGGCCAACGACCTCGCCTCGGGCAACGGCGGCGCCGCCGCGGGCGACGACGAGGACGGGCAGAACCTTTGGTAACGGCCCCACCCATCCCTGGGTCCCCACTGGCACTTCCGGCCCTGCGGACCCCTCGGGATCCCGTGCGGAGGCCCCTGCGTTCCGGGCAGCCCCCGCCCCGCCCCGGCGCGCCGAGCCCGGGTCGGTCCCTCCCGCCGTGGGGCCCTGGTGCCCGGCCTCAGCGTGCGCCTTTGCTCCCCGGCAGGTCCTGCATCCTCAGCGAGGTCTCCACCCGCTCGCGCTCCAAGCTCCCCGCGGGGAAGAACGTGCTGCTGCTGGGTGAGTGTTCCCCGCCTCGCCCCGCCCCGCCGCGCCCCGCCGCGCCCGCCGCGCCCCGCCGCGCCCCCACCCAACCCCGGCCCGGGTCAGGGTCCGCCCGCCCCCTGCCCCCCCGCCCGCCGGCTCGGCCGCTTTGTGCGGACCGCGGGGCCCGGCCTGGCCCGGCCCCGCCCCGCCCCGCCGCCCGACCGGCCGCTGACAGCTGGGGTAGAAGGGGAACGGGGACCCCGGGCCCGGGACCTGCAGGGGGCCCGCCCTCCCCTGCGTGTGGAGGTGGCCCTGGCAGTCTCCCGTGGGAAGGACGAATGCTGTAGCCCATCGGAGAGATTCTAGAGGTTGGGGTTTACCCAGAAAATAAGGGCGGTATTTCTTTCATGACAAAAATTGGTAGCGGGAGGCTCGTTGGCAAGAGCTCCGGTGCAAATGGTATGCCATTAATATTTAATAGCTGACTCTGTATAATTGACAGAGAAGCGAGAAATTGAGACCTGGTATTCGTGGTAAACGTTCTTACTTGATTCCGCTTTTTCGGGTACAATGGACTCATGTTGCACATGCCTTTAACTGTTCCTTGCAATTCTGAAATTTGTAAAGGGCAAGAGAACACCTAACTAGTCCAGCCCCTTCCACCAAATGATTGTAATTAGGAGAAATGGTCTAATGTCTCAATTCTCCTGTTCTGTAGCTCCTTTGCTCTCTGGAAGTTATGTATGTTGTTTCTTTACTGATTCTGAGGGTGGGCGTAGAGGACATTGAGGGAGAATAAATCACAGATTCACATTTTTTCCAGGTTTAGCTCCTGAGTCATTTACAAAAGACATTTCTTTCATATTCTTTAAATGGGAGATACTGACGTCTGGCTTATAAAATGATGTTTGAATTTTAAAGCTTTGGTATTGGTGTCTCAAGACTATTTTTATGTATATCTAAAGAACAGGAAAGGAAACAAAGAAGTCAGATGCTACATGGCAGGGTCTACTCTTAATAAAAATTTTTAGATAGAAACAAATTGCTTATTTTTTCCTGAATTTCTGCCAATCTAGAAAATGTGATTCTTGATGTTCTTTATTACACGGAGGTAGTTGGAAAAATTTGCTTTTAATGTTTTTAATGTGATTGAAGTACCCACTGCATATTAACCTGGGTTCAGTTACGGCCCTATGATCTTAAACAAGTTAGCTTCTCCATCTTTAAAGTGGATATTACAGAAATAATAATGCTCCCTCCTAGAGTTATGGGGTGAACTGAAGGAGATAATACTTACAAAGTGATAACAGCGTGGTGACTTCTTGTGATGGATTTCTCTCAACTGAATTAGAAAATGTTTTATCAGAATTCTCTTTTGGAAAATTGAATTAGTGTCCACATAAGTGATATTTATAGAGCAGAGATGGATTAGGATCCAAATGCAAGGAAAAAAAATCCTAGAAAAGGTTTTAAGTTTACTAATTTAAACAAATTACTATTAATTGCTAAACTAAAGTGGACTTAATGTGACTTCATTGAAGTGGACTATTTTTTAATGACTGTAAGTTAAATAAGACTTCTTTGCAAGTAATGCCATTGTAAGGTTAAGACTCCTGAACTTTGTTTTCATTTTGTAAGTTCCTCCCAATTAGTCCTGTGCACTAGATCTTTCTTAGATGATTCTGTTTGTAGTGAAACAAAAGTGACAGTTTTGTTCATTTTTGATGTTCCTAATTTGTGCTGAGGTTGCACCATACTTTTTTTTTAACCCCTTTTTTAAACTTGCCTTTGACACTGGATCAGTGGATGTGACTGAATGTACTTAGAGGCCCCAGACACTTCTATCCTTCCATACTTAGAGTAGATTAAATTTCTTTTTTTATGAGCTTAATAGTTTGTAAGGTTCCATCTAGTATCAAGTTATACGAATATATATGAAATTTAAATTTTTCTTTGAGTGCTATTGAGATTTTCATCAGAATGCTTTTCAGTTTTGGAAGAACAGATTTTTATACTGATTACATAAATAGGGTTAATTTTTAAAAATACTTGTAAAGATTTCTTAAAGACATTTTACCATCACATGTTATGGCAGCATTCACTCTGTGCTAGTGGAGGGAAGAAATATATAAATAGCGATTGTGTTTTTCTTTGTTATGAATTTGAGGGTACTAAGCAGGAGGATGCTTGGCCCTAATGTGTCTTTCATGAATTATGGTGATTTCTGGAGTCCTATATTTAAAAAATAAGATCTGAGACTGTAACAAGGTTTTACATTTCTAGAAACAACCTAAAATAGGAACAATGATCAAGCTTTTGTCCCCTAACATAGATCACAATTTAAGCTTAGCTGGCTACATGGCTTCCCTCTCACTGCTAGTGGGAGAAGAGGATGAGGACCCGCAATGTATATATGTGTATGAGCTATTCTCAAAGCGTTTTCAAATAAACATTGGCTTATCTCTGCTGCCCCCCTTCTTTCACCACCTCCAACTCTGAGAGGTAGATGTTAGCACCAATTTATAGATGAGATAATTAATTTTAAAGACCTGTTAAGTGAGTTTTCCGAGGTCACACAGCTATTAAGATCCTGTAGTCCATGACTCTGGCATGGCTCTCCAGCTTGATCAAAGTCCTTGCTTTGGCACTCAAAGGGAGTGAGTGCCCTATATTCTTCCTACTGTGTAACTTTTTAAAAAGGCTATCTTTAAGTAAAAATACTAGTAATTATTTTAAAGTGAAGTCTAAATATTTGTTGGATTCTAGGATGTAGCTTATTGAGAGACATCACTGTGGCCATGTCACTTGTGTTTAAGCAGTCATTTAATCTACCTAAGCCTGACCCGTAGTGAAATTGAGAAACACCTATGACATTAGTGCTTAACTATTTTCTTTCTTGAAAGATTTTGAGAAAGTTCTTCGATAAAGTTTGTTTCTAATATTAAAGGCAAAACTTCTCGTGTATATCTTTTAAGTAGGACTTAGCTTACATATTGCCCTTTGAAGAACTATTTTTTCGTCTTTACCCTTTATATTTAATCAGTTTTTACGGCAACGATTGTAATTATGTTTTAATCACTGCTTTCTCCATATCTTGGTTAATTTCCTATGTTTTGTTAAGAAAACTCCCTAAGGAAAATAATAGTAGCTAACATTTATAGAGCACTTATATGTACCAGCCATGTAAGGATTGTTTACAGAATTTGATTATCCCCTTAAAGATCATGAAGCAAACGCAGAGATATTAGTAAGTTGCTCTAGGGTTACACAGCCAGAAAGAGTCAACATCAGGAGTCTTAAGTTGTATAGCCTACCTCCAGAGCCAGTATTCTTTCTGAACCTATACCCTGGACTGTCTCCCTAAAGGGAGAGATCTCTTTGTAAAAAAAGTATTGTGGGGCAGCCCCGGTGGCTCAGCGGTTTAGCGTCGCCTTCAGTCCAGGATGTGAATTTGGAGGCCCGGGATCGAGTCCCACATTGGGCTCCTTGCATGGAGCCTGCTTCTCCCTCTGCCTCTCTCTCTCTGTGTGTCTCATGAATAAATAAATAAAATATTTTAAAAAAAGTATTGTGTTTAATGGTTTATATTAAAGGAATTTTATGTGATTCCCCTGATATATGTTTCATTGCAAAATCATTGATTTAGATTAAGTGAATTTATTATTTACTAAGATGCATATATAATCTTGGCCCCCAGCACAGTGCCTGGCTTATAAATAGAACATCAGTTTAACTTTCTGATTAGGGGCCAATATAAATTAATGAAAATTATTTGGCCCTTTGGTAAATGACATAAACCTCATCTTTCTCATCTATAAATTAAGATATTTGGATTTAGTGATCTCTGAACTCTGATTCCACATTCTTTAATTTGCTTAAATTCTAAAGCTTGTGGTTATTAAAAATTTATAAAGAAATATTTTGAGCACATATTTCAGATGGACTAAAATTAAAGTATTTTCTTGTAGATGTGGGCTGTTTGAATCTACCCAGGGAAGAAATCTAGAGTCTATATTTTTCCCTGAAAGCACTAGTCCAGAATTATGTGCAGCCAGCAAAGCTTCACAAAATGCTGGGCATCTTCAGAAAGTATGTTTGAAATAATCTTTCTTATTCAGGAATAAAACTAGCTTCTATTATGCTTGAATTATTGGTAGGAAACCTCAAGATACATAGTGGAACTAGAGATCTGTTCACAGAAGTAACTCCTGTGTGAGGACTGACATTGAAAACAATGAGACTGTTCATTCAGAGTATTAATTTGTGAGGAACTGGGATCCATGACTTCTGGAAAACACAGATTTTTATCAGTTGAAGTATGTTAATGCTGTTTTCTGAAATGATTGGTTATGGAAATATGCTATAAGGAGTAGAATGTTACCACATATTGGGTATGGATATGGATGGTATTGGATTGGTAATTTTCAAAGAATTAACAATATTATTTGCTGTATGATATGTTACCATATTAAAAATATACCATATGTGAGTGTTTTTGAGACATCAGTGGCATATTGGTGTTTTACAGTGGTTAGAGCCAGTGAAGACTCTAAAGATACATACTTTTGATCCAGCCATTGAACTTATAGGAATTTATCCCAAAGTTAATACTGGGCAAATGGAAAATTAGACATAATAATAATAATCTGTATACACATTGATTTTAATTATGTCATAACTATATATATTATTCAGTCATTAAAAGGGAAGAAAAAAACCCAACCCTGATACATTAAAAAAAAAAAAGGCACAAGCCTATTTGTTTAAAAAACAAATATATATACACAAAGAAAATGAACACTGCTGTCTCTAGGTGGTGGGTCATGTGTTATTTTCATTTTCTTATCTTCATAATATTTTCTCTTACTCTGACAAGAAACATGTATTACTTTACAATTTAAAATAGTGACTTCCAATTTTGAGAGGACAGCGATTTAAGACAATTTTTTTTGGTTCTTTTAATCCCAGTAAGTATGAAAGAATCTTAGTTAACAGATCAGAAGGTTGTAATTCACCCACAATCCCACAGCTTC